TATATACACCCTTCTAATAAACCGCTTCCCTTGTACCAACCTTGACTTCCCTTCCTTCATGTGAGCTTACTCCAACTTGTTAAACATCACTACTCGTTGTTCTTTATTAGTACATTCTCTAATATGGAGCCTCTGACTTCACTTCACTCTAACAAGACATTATATGAATTTATTCTAATTTATTATACCTCTGTCCGTTCTACTACACAATGTTAAGCAACCTTTGGCGTTCATATCCAAGTGCCTTGCTGCTCCTCTGTTTCTTTTTTTTTCTCCTTCAGAATCTTGCTCTGAGAGCACAGCTATGAAACTTCTGACGTTTGGAGCAAACTTAACGTACGCGTCCTCTCAAGGTCATAGTTTACAGCAAGCGCTCTACGATCTCACTTTATAACAACTATAAACTTAATAAGTTGGGAAGCATTTTGCGAACCAACAAATGTTGTAATTTATAGATCATGCCTGTAAAAACGGTGTGTACCTGCACATGCAGAAATATATTATTATTACTAATAACGAAGTAGACCGTAATTGTACAGTACTCTGTGGTGTTCGAACAAACTAATAATACTTTTGTACTTGTTGAATGCTCGATTTCGAATTCCAAATACAATACATTCGTTTGTGCTTGTGTCTTAATTCTTGATTCAATTGAGTTATTTCTGGGACTTTTAGTTCATACTAAAATTCAAATATTATATATGCTTGAGGGATTCGTGACGATATTTTCCAATTCCTTTAGTAACCTGTGGTGCCTCTCATCGGGTCCCATGAACTTGCCTATCTTGAGTTTACTTAGCAGACCAAAGACATTGAGTTCTTTTATGGTCGCAGTATTCACTGTGTGTGTGTGGGGGGCTTGTATAAACAGAGGATAAGAGTGACTCTACCATATGTACATTCCTAAAGTAATATGAGAATACCTGGGCTTTACCATAGTAGTCCTGCACTAATGATCAAGTACTAATGTCCCCACAAAATGGTGGAATATTTTCTCATCTATTAATCCCTTAGTTTATGTACGAATATAGACGTTTAGGGCATTCTATAGATTCATTAACAAGTTCTTCTTTGTGCAACCTTCTAGACTTACGGGGGGTCAAAGTACACATTTTTCGACCTTTAAGAAATTGGGAATTTGTCTCGTCAACGCCTAGTGACCTAAATCTCTCACACATTCTTCTCTTGAGGAGATGGGTGAAAACCTTCCTACTGAACTATGATGGAGAGTTTTGTCGGACCCCTGACGCCATCCAAGGGATGTGACGTGCAGTGACTTTCAAGTAAAAATTTCTAAATGCATCTCAAGGAGTGAATTTATCCGCAACGCAATCATGTAAACTTAATGTATCACCCAGTGTAATAACGGTCATCTGTGCGTTCAAGTAACCACAGATTTTGTCATTTCATAATGTATTTGTAATTAAATAACTAGATTATGTAGCTAATTTTGCTCTGTTTTTAATTTTTATTCGCCACGTCCGACTGCGTTACACTGCAAGTCCATTGCACGCTGGGATAACATCTCAAGTCATCGTGAGTTAAATCACATAGTTTATTGTTTCCAGATAGACCGTCAGTGCATGATGTTACGGAAGAAATGTTTGTTGTACTGTAGACTACGTTTTCATGAGCAACTGACTGTTGTCTTCAGTCTGAAAGCAATATATATGTATCCTTCGTCTTCTGTTAGGTAAGTTCAAATGACCTTTATTTCGTGTTTTGGTTTTATCGGCTGAATTACGTTGATTTTACTCCGTTTAGCAACATGTCTGTGCAAATGGAACAATAATTATGACACTTGCTTAGTTTAGTATTCTTGGTTGCCATTATAATTTAGATTAGTCGATAGAATTATAGTATACTTAAGTATAGTGCTTAAAGCCTGTAACGAAACGGATCAGTTTAGTAAGTAGAGCTGCCTGTCTTTAGTGAGTATACTGATTCAAAACAGTCTGATTAAAAATAGGAAAAACTCTTTGCTAAAAAGACATGTAATTTGGTTATTTATCTATTCCACATTTCTGACTAAATTCATTACTATTTTCTCATTTAGAATGCAACAGGACTGAGCCTTCACATATCCTAAAAACTGTTTCGCCCGTAGAACTATGGCCCTATGAAACTGTTTACGGGAGACCTAACTAACAGCAGATTATAAAAAGAATGCTGGATGTCCATTTTAGTCCCACAACCACTTCCAGTACTTTTTGAGTTACTTCTTTTACCCTTTCGTTTGGAAAAAACAACAAAAGCTTGAGCTTAACATTACCAATGCAACTTTTAAACGGAAACATGGTTTAGACCTTTGTTTGATATTCGATTCTTGATGAAAGTTCTCGAATAAATTTTTGAATCTAATGCTACTTTGTCTTATCTACTTAATCGTTGCAAGAAACTTGTGATACACGAGCCTCTCAGCACTTAATTCATGTGTTCAGGCTTCCGTGTCTAGTAGCAGGGGATCACTAAAACCTCCAGGCAGGAACCTAGGTATGTTAACGATAAAAGAGGAAAAAGAAATTGGTAAATCATAGTATGATACTATCCTTAAGGACAGATCCAGTTGCCTCTTAAAGGACTCCTGGGAAGTCGCTTCGACTAGCTCGGCGGGCGGCGAATTCCAGCATTTGACAACTCCTAAGGAGTAGAAGTTGTGCCCACAGTCCGTTCTGCTATGTTGTGTCTCTAGTTTCTGTGTGTTACCCCTTAGGTTGGTGTTGGAACTAAGCTTAATCAGGTGTTTTAGGGGATGTCCAGAAGTGTTAAGGTTATTGTAAGCCACTAGGTCACCTCTAAGACATCTATACTCTAATGAGTGGAGGTTAAGTGATTGGAGGCGCTCTTCATAAGGTGATTTGGTACATATCTTCGTCATTTTCCTGAGAAATTTACAGACTCGGGTCCTCTCACAACTTATTCTAGCCACCATTGGTTGTCACGGCAGCTAATGGATGGACAAGCGTTACACGTCCTAACCGTTCCTGTGTCTAATCCCATAGCTCCTTATTCAAATGCCATATGATAAGCAAGCAATCCCCCTACCCGCACTAATGGAACACTAGTAAGTCAAAGGCACCCTGTATGGTACCTTACATTGGTCTACGGACTCGCTTAGCTATTTAGTGAGAATATTACTACAGTCCTGCTAAAAATCCCATGAACCCCTCTATCTCCATCAAAAAATGTCTGTATTTGCTGCATATTGCAATTTTATTTTTCAGAACTAAGATATAACAGAATTGTAGTAAAATAGCAGTATACAGCAGATGCACGTGGTACATGTCTTCATCGATTAAATGAAATAGAGAATACGGATATTAGCTTAACAGGCTTATTTAGAAAGACTAGTGTCTACTTTGAACTTACTGTGTGAGAAAGTTATACTGGAACTACGAATAATGTAGGAAACTAGTCTCCTAGGGCGTACGAAGCACTCAAACTAGAAGACAGTTTTCCAAAAATAATTCGAATATGAAGGTGGAGGTTTGCAGGTACTTTTCATCGTAAGGGTGAACATATTAGGTACCGTTTGTCGTCATACCGTAAAAAAACACAGATACCCTTCAGCTTCCTTTTATGACCAAAACAGCAAACATACACTACACACTGATAGCAGATTCCCGGCTTTTCAATGTTAAGCTTGCTTTAACACATAACGTAGTGAGTAAAACCCTTCTATTACTGCTATATGGCATATTTTTCATAACAAACCCTTTGCAATAGACTGGTAGCGTTTGTGACTTCATCTATAGTTGTCGGAAGTCTGGGTCCTTTCGAAATCAATACCGATATACCCTACTCCTTGGCACTCTGTATTAGTCTGACTCGTTGGTAGGGTAGTGTTGTCCATAGTACTGAAGAAAATTGAAAACCGGAGATTGTTTCCTTTCATTTTGCCGATAACATCATAAAGGACAGTTAGGAACGAACATGCGGACAGTTAGTCACAGGGGGCAGCAACAATTATTTTAGCTAAAAAACGAACTTCGGCTTTGGATATCTAGAAAACAAGTCAAAACAAAACCGATAAGATTAGCCAGCTTGGCTGAAGAAATACACTGACTACAGTAGAAGCAGACAAAACCCAGAAAACAAAGCAAAATGAAGGAAAATTTTGCTCCAACATTCAGAGTATTACATTAACTTCTGCTTTTTAGCACAGTGAAACATTAAATTCTGTAGCTTCACAAAAGAAATAGCCAAAAAAAGCACAGAACGAAGAAAGCCGACCGCCATTGCTTACAAAGATGGCTGATATAATAATCTCCGCCTCGTTCTGATTGGTTGTAAGCTGAAGGACACATTTACGAAATTGAGTTGCGTTTAATTGCAGCCCATCCCAAGCTATTTCAATTGGGGACCCTAGCTCTTTTTTTCCAGTCTGTTGAAGATGCTGAGTGTATAATATCTCCTACATTTGCTTTCCAGATGTAAGTTTCAGATTGAGCTACGTGATCACTTTTACTTAAAGGTGGCATGTAGCTGAGGTCAATATAAGGTCTAGTAAGGATGATCCAGTATCCGGGTTGTGCCTAGATGCCTTCTTCATATGTTGTACTAGGGCACATGTGGTAGCCGCACCAACTAATTTCTATTTGAAGGAATTTTCAATTTACTGAAGATGGCACAGGTATTCAGTGTTTGACAACGCTTTTACCAGTAACACCTAATATAATTCGTTACCACCGAGAGAAATCAAAAGACAGAGTCGAGGAGATCGGAAGAGTGTATTTGGCGAATACCAATATATTGGAATTCTCTGATCTAATCTGGCTAGCTATTGCGGTAGATGTTGAGCACGGCGTTACCACACGTGATCTGGTGTGAATGCATGACCGAGCGCCTTCAGCTAGATGAGTCCACTAAAACATATGGTCAGCATTCAATGTCGAAAACTTACAGAGCTATTTATTTTGGGGATTTATTTACCGCTACAGTGTGATATAACCCTATCCTCACTTTGTACACTAGTTTGTCGATTTATTGATTATTGGATTCGTCAGCAACATTTTCTGAAGTAGAGCGTTACGTAATTTTGATTAGCTTGGAGTTTCCTCGGTACGATTTACGATATAATATTGGAAGTTATCTCCTACTTTGTTTATGAATGACTATAAATAGGCTTACAAGAAACAGCTCGTACTATCTTTGATTTGGTTTTACCGTGTAGATCTTGAAGTTTTGATTTATTTGCCGCTACAATCCCGTGCTGCAAACTTTGGTAAAAATCAACCAGTTCAGTAAAAATACAATATAAAATAAGATGATTTCGTATTTTTGGTAGACCTATGTGTTGATACTTTATTGACAGTTAAGGATGTGAATATAAGCGAGAAACTATGACGCAATTGTATCAATCTGTTTATATTGTACATGTACCATATTTACGCTGTTAACATCGTAAGCATGTTGGTTTCTGTATGTACGTCCTATTCCCCTTGCTTCCTTTTGGTTGGAGCCTTATTCACACACTGGGATGAGTCGATTCGAGGATATCATTTAAATCATATCTTCTATGATACCTCTCAGTTCTAAACCAAATTACTCCTACATCTGCCATTCCACCCCTTTTTATCTTATTTCAGTAATTTCTGTGTATATCATAATTTATTACTTCAGTAAAACGAAGCTAAAAGTTTAAATCAAGGACCACTGACGAATCTCAGTTGACTGGAAAAGCGCTGTTCACCTTGAAATAACTTGCCATGATACACAAGCAACTGTTAACACAGGAATACTATATATCAGTAGTATATAATCAAAGACCAATAAATTGTAATGGGTTTTGGTAACATCCACTTAGCAGATAAAAGTTCAAGTTTATGATGACGAGCGAAAGCAACTTAAAAATACTGACAAAAGTCTGAGGAGTAATCGTAAGTAGACACAAGATTAGTAGGTAAAGTAGACAGCTTGCCGGACTTGTCAAGTAATCAGGTATCGAGAAGTCAGTTGCTGGTGAGATTATGACCAGAAAAACAAGATATTCTCCGCCCGTACGTCTAGAGTGATGGGAAAGAATATTTGAATAACATTTTAAATGGTGTTTAGCTACCATACAATTGTCTACAGTCTACCAAACAACCTGGATAAAAAGAATGTTAACATGACCTTCCAACTTTTGATAAGTTTGAGAAGCCTTTAACAAGTCTAAAGCGAGGGGCATAAGTTGGTCCTGATGTGTTCACCTCTAAGATCTTTAAGTATTGTGGTTCAGTATCAGTAGTTAAACTAATTGGAACAATATCCACTCTGGGAAGTAGGCTTCATTCTATCCGACTATTCACCATCAATGATCGTCCCAGTGTATGTGAAAGGACTAAAATCCTCATGTGATAACCACAGGAATCAGTTTGGCTAATATAACGTCTGAAATAATAGCCTCAATAATTATTGGACACTTAACTAGAGCTCACAAATAGCAGACTATGAAAATCAGGTTGGTTCCAGATCTTATGTAGATTTGTAGACCAGATATTCACTTTTCTTGAGCTTCTAAACGATAGACGTAAATATCGATGCACACGTGTAGTGGTATTTCTTAACCTGAAGTCAGCATTCATCTGTGTTTATCGACGAGTTTTATGAATATTCGTCATTGACAGGCGTACCAAAAAAGTTCATAAATTTTGCGATAGCTCTCTACTCTAACACTGCTAGTCGAGCCGGTGATTTGGACAAACTGTCATTAAAATCAATTAGTCCTCGTCGTGGATTGCTACTTTTTCCATTTTTATTTAACTCTGTCAAAGGTAATCCTTTGTAGACAGCACTTTTGTCGCCTGACTTCAGAGGTTAATCGCCCACCACTGCATTCACCTATCAACTTCTAATATACAGACTGTGTTTCTTTTCGGTAAAGATGCTGAAAAATGGAGCTTTCTAATCGCCTTGAGCCACAGTGCAAGCATGTGGAGATTTTTAGCTCAAATGGATGATTTAGGTTGAGTTTTGTTCTCTAAGCTGTATTGTTTGGTCGTAAGGCTTTGATTGTTCTTTTGACCAACATCATCAAAAACTCTAGGTAGCAGTGAAGTCTTCGAACTTATTTACACTTTACTCATAGCTTGTCCTGTCGAACTCGATCTTCATTGATTTATTTTATTTATTTGAGTATTAATACTGGTACAAAACGGCACCGAATATATATGCGCCACACAAGTCACTTGATTTGTGTGTGGGTTGTGATACTGCCCGGGTGCCCAGACGGAAGCAGGTGGTCTTCTTAGGGGGCCACACCCGGATCCTTCGACCTGAAGATCTGATCCACAAGGTAGTGTAGCAATGTCAGGAGATGCAGTACCATAGTAGCTGGTGACCAACGATTGGTTTATGCGCCATTTGTTCCCTCAGGATCCTGGTTTCCATGTGCACCATTGGTTTGGAATAAGGGTTTTTCAACTCTCCTAGGTGGATCCTCCATATCCACCAACCCGCTTAAAGCGACGGACATTTACTTTTCGTCCATTCAATTTCTTAAACAACACTTCCTTCGCGAGAATTCAGTGAGTAGGACTTCCCTAGCAATCGCTGTTTACGCGTGGCCACATGTGAGCCTTTTCCCACAGATGACCTGGTACGGCCTAGGATGAGGAGTGTCCTGTCTCCCTCTCGAAATGCTATTGATTGGTTATTGTTGACCTTTAACCTGTCACTGCCTACTTCTTTATTTTGATTGATTCTTGGTCCTACATATGCCCATGATTTTTCCGATCAGTTGGTAAGTTGGTTTGATTTCAGTGTGTTTGTCGTTTGCTGATGTATCCGACTGCTAAGCTTCTAAAAATTCCCTAATGTTTTTAGTGTTCCCTCTATCCGAGATCTCAACATTTTCCCAGTCGAATGTGTCCACAGGCATTGATATAAGCGAATATATGACATGGTGTTTTACCGCTAGTTGATGTTCGTACAGGTGAAAATGAAGGGGGCATCCACTTTGTCCGATGTAGTGTTTTTCGCAGTTGGGACAGTTTATTTTGTAGATAATGTTCCGTCTTTCTTCTTTTGTCATTTCGTCCTTTCGTTCGCATGGGTTTGATTGAAGTGATTTTGCCGGTTTGTGTTCTACACTTATTCCAAACGACTTAAATAATTTCATTGTAATTTCTGCTTTATCTTGTATATGGTAGGACGATCCGTTTGTTGGCTTATGTACTTGATTTGTTTCTCCTGATGAGCTGGATTGGTGTTTTATGATGAAGTTGCGTGGGTAGCCGTTAGATATTTTTCTTCATTTTTCCGCGCTGCAATGTATTCTTGTCTTCTTGAGGAAAGTTTGTATGAAGTTGATTTTCTGAGTTCTCGGGTTGTTGCTGCTGTAGTTGGGAATTTATTCTGTGCGGGTTGGTTACCGATATACTTGCGTCCTCGGTTTTTCTGTGTAAAACTTCAAGGCTTCTTGTATTTTGAGAAATTTGTCTCGCTAGTGAGGAGCGGGAATAAAGTTTCCTTTGCTAAGTTTCATTCATTTGAGGTGAATAAGGTCGTTACATCGAAGGATATTATCAATTCACTGTTGTTGATTAAACTTTTTTCAACAATATCCAATACTTGTATGGGAGATTTGATGGAGTGATTGGATGAAGCAGACAATGACAGGTTAAAGGTCAACAATAATCAGTCAAGATCGAGGTCGACAGAACAAACTGTGAGTCATGTATGCATAAATTTAAAAACTTCACTGCTACCTAAAGATTTGCTGATGATGTTGGCTAAAAGAACAATGAAAGCTCCACGATCAGACTATCCAGCTTAGTAAACAAAACTTCACCTCTATGTAGGCATGTTTTGGGTGCGATCCACTCCCTGTAAATGCAGTGTTGCTTGCTTCAAAAAGTTACCGTCTTACGCAATCTCATTAACAATTCAAAAGGTTCAGTTGGCTTTCGTGAAATTGCCTCACTTGAGTCGAAGTTGAAATATCTGTCTCCCAACGATAAGGCGTCTTGTGGAAAGCGGTCTTTAAAAAAAGATGTTCCTAAGTTACTAGCATTTAATTGTAAGTACACTTCAATTGTTGGACGCCTTTTTAGGACCACCGAGTACGGAATGCTGAAGTTACACACAGGTCACCAAGTATGTATGGCAAATCAGTTAATAAGGTTGTGAATATTCATCAATTTAGTGGTCGAGACATGCGTTACCTATCCTAAACCACCTCCCATCTCGACTTACTATGTTTGCTGTTGTAGGAGTGGGTTGAAATTAAGCTAAGGGCGGTCAGAAAATGTGTCTTTATACTTATATCTCTTTCGTGCTCATATAGACCTGGTCACTGAGTTGACCATTTCCACCACTCCAGTTCATGTCCATTTCTTCTCGTCTCTTGTCTTTCGCTTACACTATCGAATGTCTTAAATATATGTTTCTCAAATACTTTCATATTTGGTTTCTTATGTCTTCGTTGACGGAATACTTCGACAGAACATATGTAGAAAGCAAATTGGTTGTTTCACCAGCATAAATATCTTCCGATCACATGGAGTCAGATTGCTGGTCTATAAAACTACCTTGCTGAGGATTATTGTGACCAACAGTTGTGGAAGTTGAGTGACATGGCTCGGAATCATTCTCAATGGCACAGACCCACTCACCACCTTATTTTCCTTTAAATCCTAATCAGTATTAGTTAAAAAATTATTTCTCTAATTCGTCCTCTCCTTTTAACCTGTATTCTCTAATGTTTGCCCGTTCTCAATTCCGGTAATACTACAATTATTTTATCTCCTTTGTTATTTATCCTGTTAGTTTAATCCTGCTTTAATGATATGGCATGAACAACACATTTGTCTCAAGCTGTATGTTGATTATGAATGGCTGACTAAATGACGCTTCGAAATAACTTCTAATAAATATTTCTTTACTTTCTTGTTAATTCTCATTTTCAGATTCGAACGTGAGGAAATTTGTCATTCCATTCATATACAGAAAGTTGATAGGAAAAATTTTCATTTGGTATCTATTATTCTTGTGATGTCTTCTTAAAACCTATATGATCGGGACGTAATGTAGCACTTACAGTTTATGTTTTTCATGAAATATCCAAAAAAACCTCTAGTTTAAAGGTCGTCACTTATGTGACGTCCTTCTACCCATTCCCAAATTGTTTAAGTTTGGTGCTTTCTGGAGTTGTGTTGAATATTACTTGTTGACTTTTTTCAGTATTACGATAATGAAATATCAATAGCCTAGAGTACATAATTCTTACTTGTGAATTAAAACTCTTGCTTGTAAAGGTTCACTTGAGTAACCATGATATGGTCTTGGAATTCGATTGCGAAATTACTTGTCCCTTGTGAAGTTCTACTTGTTACTAAACTAATTTTTTGTTTATTATCATTCCCAAAATGTCTTTTTTCTTACAGTGCAGCTTTGTCTTCTGTGATTGGATGTATATTTTCATCTCCAATAACAGTATTTTCATTTTTCCTTGTAATGAATTGGTTATCTTATTACTTTTACTTATTAGTTTTTATAACCATTTCTAGTCGATCAATCTACTCAGATATTTGTAAGTTAATTCACTTGGGAATAACTTGTAAAGTCCCGTTTACCTTAAGTAACATCGAGTTGTTTATCTATACATATACAAGTACGCTTTACTTTTTGGGGTTGTTAAATGAAAAAGAATCTGTTTTCGGTGTTATTTGTTGCTTTTTGGTTTTCTTTTCCTTGTGTCTCTATCGTTGCGTTCTTTCCTGGAAGGTATTACGCTTGTCCAACAACCATTTTGTACACCTTTTGTTAGATGCACGTCTACCCACAAGCTTATTTTTGTATGGCTTATATATTACTTGGCTTCTCAGTGTATGTTTTTATCTAGGGTCGCATATTTTTACACGAATGTCCACTTCTGTTTCCAATACTATTCTCTGTACTGGTATTTTTCTCCTACAAGTTCATGTTAGTTTGATCCTGGCTTCTATTAAGCTTTTGATCTTACCCGTCAAAAGTTGCAGTTTGTACAGAATGATTTCTACTTCATTTTTATCTATGGAAGGAATTAGTTTTCTTCTTATTTTATCTTATTCTGCATGGAAATTCTATCTAAGCGAGTCATCTCTTGTGTACTTAGGATACGCTGAAATATCAAGTCATGTCATTTTCTTAACCGTTATCTTTTGTCTTCTATATGTCTATGAAAATTTATTACCATCAGTACAGTCAGAATTATTTTCTATGGACAAAATTACTATTTTACCTCCTGATTCTTGTAGTCTGTGCACTTTATCACTGTTTCAACCTAGTATTTTGACATCAGATGTTACTCTCAACTTCAGTGGCGAATGCCAGCACTTAATGCATACATCATGTGCACAAATTTCGGAATCGATCTCATTCCCTTGCTTGCGATGTTCTATAGAATCTTTCAGCTGTGTACAGGGTAAGATTTATATATTATCTTTTGTGTTAATATTAAATCTCATGTTCATCATATATTTTATCATACTTAATCTGCATACATTTCTAACAAAAGTGTATATTGAAGTTTAGTCACTCATCATCAACATAGAGCTTGTAATCAAGCCCGTTAATCCAAATTGCCATGCCATTTAGGCAAACCAAGATGAAATCAACATGACGAATGGCTAATAAGTCGAAACAATAGTAACTTCAATGGAAGCGAGGATAACTAAATGTAAGAAATGTAGTTAAAAAAGGAGTAAGTTTGAGTAGTAGAAATTTTTGGATAATATAGAAACTTAAGCTCTAGACAAGAATAAAGAATGAGTGCGTCTATACCACTGTGATCTATTTTGAGCTGTCATCTAGATTTTCCAGTCGTTAATCAAACTTGTCACTCAGACCCTATATATCTGTATTCAATCGACAGTCAAAAGTTATCAATATTAAAGTTGATTTGATAAAATAAAATACCATCTTTCCAGGGAATGACAGTCAAATCAACTTTCCATTTATCATCTATGAACTTCATAATTCTCTACTATCCAAATGAGTTTTGTATTCCTACAAATACAAATAACAGTTGAGGGTATATGGTTAATTACCAATTACTTTTTTTCATTTTTATCTTTTGATTTACAGATGCCAATAATAATTCGGCGATTCTCAATGAATTACACTCTAACTATGCTGACTCTGAAGTATCTAATACTTCGAATTCACTGGAAGAATCTTCATCAAATTCTTCCATTTATGATGATAAAGACGTAGATTTAAGTGTTTATTTAAATTTCGATCAATTCAATAAAAGCAATGTAAGCCGAACATTACGCAAACTGGATGGATCCAGTTCTTCTTTGTTTTCTGTTGATGACGATGTTGACAACGACGTTTTATCAACAGACAGTGCCGAGTGGAATTATAATAATCCTAGTTGTGAATCAGATATAAGCAACTTTTGAACACAAAAACATATTATTCAGCACTATCCACTTATTTTTGACTTTCAAAACTAATATTTTTACATCTTTTTTTTTCTGGGAAAAAAGATGATATCCCACCTAGTCTTTGCATTTGTACTTGCTAAGAGTCGTTTATACTATATTTTACAAACCATCATATTTCTACTTACAAATTTGTATTATGACCATTTTCCTCTTTTTGATGTTTGACAACATCTACTAAAAAATAATCCACTTTTCATGTGATTAATATAACTGAAGAGTTTTTCGGTTTTCACTTATTCTTGTTACGATCATACCATAAGAACACTAAATACGAGTTAATATCGTTAATAAGATCAATAGACGATTAAATTGCATGAACTTCTATACACGAGGTCCGATGAAAAATTGGGAATCACAATAGATCAATGCTCAACAACTTGCAGGCTCAAACTAAAAAACTCGCAGTATGAAATCAGGATAGAGATACAGTAGAATCCACCTGTTCAATATAACAACAGTCAAGACATATCTGTCATCGCACGGTGACCAGTCACGGCTCACTACCACATAATGCATCAATGATATACATATATAATTTCTGCTATCTATTCTGGAAGAAAAGTGGGTCTAGATCACATTCATCGTTGACAGATTTTGCGACTGACTTATTTTCTCTTAGGACGATACTCTCACCGTAAGCGTATGTAAGCTCAAACATTATAAGCAAAGATGGATGGTGGCTGACAGTGGGATCCAGGGTGCACGTGTCGTCCTACTTGGGGCTTATCAGCTGAACGTAACTGCATCTTGGAGTTGATGTTCACTGCATGACTCAAGCCTAGTGCTGTTCGCCTCAAACTCCATTGCGCTGTCTACTTAGCTACTGAGCGCAGATGCTCACTAGCTTATGTACTAAAGTGGAGTTTATTTCATCTCGTATTAGTTTGAATCTTCCTATTGACGTTTAGGAATGCAGTTGATCGGTCTCTTAGTAGCGCATATTCACCCTGTGCGCATTGCTTTAAGTCGCAAGTATTACAGGCGAACGGTACTGGGTTCGAGTCCTGCAGTGAACATCAATTCTAAGATGCAGTTACATTCATCTGATGAGTCCCAAGTAGGACGGCACGCGCATTGTGGATTCCAGTGCTAGCCACCATCCATCTCTGCTTACAATGCTTATGACTTAAGGCAATATCTGGGCAGTCCGCACAGGATGCTATATGCCTATAAGAGATTAATCAATTGCAGTCGTAAACATCAATGGGAAGTTTCAAACAACCAATACAAGATGAATTAAGCTTAAACATTGTTTGTTCTTTTGATGATCCTAAGTGGTTATTATTTACGAAGACTGATTGTATAGTGTCAGTGAAATGTACTAATGATCTAGAGATTTAACGAGAGGTCTTTAATATTTATGTGAAGCACTTTTTGATTAAATTTGAAGAGGTGACCAAAGTATCAGATCGATTCATAGTCAATTTAAGCACATATATTTTGTAGTAAACAATCTAAAAGATTTCGGACATATTTCCAACAAACAGTTTTGCCAAGGGAGTTGTATAAAAAATAATAGTACTTAAAATTTCAAAACTTAAATCAATAAGATATCAGTTCTATGCTTTGCTAGGACCTTTTATTAGGTTATTAATAGTTGACATTACATATTGACTTTAGATATGAAACAACCAAGAGCCGTAAAGCACTGGACATTTGTTTTTTCCCGAATATGCGATTTGTCAGTATACATTTATGGCTTAAATAAGATGCGAAAGTCACTTCGTAATGTAGTCTATGGAATCCAGTAGTCTTTACAAAAATAATGTATGAATTATGATTGCTGGTTGAATAAATGACTAGGAAAGGGAAGTCATATATCGCATTACTGTCGGATTGAAGTGATATGAATGACGTATAAATGGAATTAAGACTAGGTCATAATATTCTTATGACAGAAAAATAATAGTTATTATTAAATTATGTAGTTTCTTAAATATTTATATGCTGTCAACCAGTATAACTGTGTGTTCAGTTGATTAGGCTTCTATCATGTTAACTGATTTGACAGTTACTTAATAACTATTCTAGAAACACTCATATGACTAAATTTTTTCAACATATTTTGATTGCATTAATATCTTCGTTAATTGATATTGTCACAATTATACCAACTGAATTTAGTAATGAACAAGTATCATCAGTGTTTACGAGTTGATATTCCAACATGATAACAAAAAGCCGTTATAACAAAATAGAATAGCAATGTCTCATAGACAAGTGTTCTATCCTATTTTTCAATCTTTATTCAGTGGATAATTCTAGTGGCGTTCCGATTAAGATTTCGAAGTTTATAACTGTTCAAATGTAAGGAGATTGAGTTACAATAAAAGTTATTGATTTTACAATAAGTACAGTTTGATATTATCGTTCGTGCTCTTTAATTTGGTTAATAACTTCACTGGACATAATTAATAGCAAAATCCTAATAAAAACCTTACAACGAATTCATATTCTGGTTGATGATTGATTACTAGAAATTAACTTCAGTCAATAGTGCAATAAAATACTGAAGTGTGGAAAGAACAAGTTCATTGATAATGGAACAAATTTTCGAACTTCTAGTATTTAGTTCTATAAGTGATCTGATTAGATTTTCTTGTCAATGAAACTTGTTTAGTTTAACTCTGTTGTTGTTAAAAATATTCAGCTGACAAGTCCCATATAGGAGGACACGTACATTCTGCAATCCACTGATAGCCACCATCATCTCTGCATATAATACATGTTCTTTAAGTTGCTATCGAGACGATCCACATAGCATGCATATATGCTAATAAGAGACTGATCGATTGCAGTCCTATGCATAAATCGAAAGATTCTAACACGCAATGAAAAATGAGTTAAAAATCTTTGATAGCATCATAAGATATATTTTAATCGATTTCAGATTTTAACTATAAGGAATCTGGAGTTGGTGAAGATTAGAAGAATTCGCATTTCACAGGTATGAAGATACTTCTCTCAATAAGTAATTACAATAACAAAATACCGTTATACCCTTTCTTACTAAATTTCATAAGTGAAACCTTGTAAATTAAAAGAAACGTAAATATGTGAAATCTAAGTAGTTGAGTGTTGATAACTTCTATTATAACTCGTGATTAGATTAAGGTTCCTAAGGCTTTTAAAATCAGGTCTCATCAAACTGAACATCAGGCTACAACGAGGTCTAAAGTGTGATTTCGTGGTTTACAGAAGATGAGTGAAAATTTAATGGTAACTGAAGCTTAATTATTTATTGTTAAGATTTATACTACTAATTAGTACAAAAATAAACTACGTAAAAGTTTCAGTGTATTTTGTAATCATGTCCTTTACTACAAATATGTTGTGTATTTTATTTAGGTATAAATATTCTCGGCATTAAGTTTGGTTTTGTTTACTGTATTTTAGCCCATTTAAAAGAAATCTCTTTGTTTAATGTATTCATTTAGTTTTAATACATTTCTCATCTATGTGTTGATTAGAAGTTGTTTGCTTCACAAATTAGTACTAAATGATTATGGCATACTATCAACAACAAAAAATAAAGTATTGATTGGATTTTTTCTAGCGTTTTTAATAAGAAAATTCATTTTTACTCATAGTTGTGAACTCGCGCGTGGTATGGCTTCGAATTATGTATGTATGATTTGTTTGTGTAAGTAGCACTACATTGTTGTGTGCTTCAGTGTAGAAGAGTGATATGTAATAATTATTCAGTTATTCTCCAGTTATTTTGTAGTGAATAAGAACTCATATGGGTAAAAACATTATTTTCTAGTGAAAAGTTACAGAGTTCTTTGGTAAAATGTGAAAACCATACATTAAATACATTTTTTGTACATCTTACAATTTTCGTTTACATGTTTCATAACTTACTTACTTACGCCTGTTACTCCTCGTCAAGGAGCATAGGCCGCCCACAAGTACTCTCCATCTAACCCTGTCTTGGACAATCCTTTTCATATCTGCTTCTATTTCCCGACGTTATGTGTTCTTTGGCTTTCCACTTTTCCTCTTCCCTTCAGGATTCCAAGTTAGCGCTTGCCTCGTGATGCAGTTTGGTGATTTGCGTAATGTATGTCCTATCCATTTCCATCGTCTTTTCCTAATTTCTTCTTCAGCTGGAAGCTTGTTTGTTCTCTCCCACAGAAGGCTGTTGCTGATGGTATCCGGCCAATGGATGTTGAGTATGTTGAGGTATACTGCTGCAAACGCTGTTGCTACGCCGACTGTCTTCACCTATATCTGTCGGCGTGTATGAGATAGAAGGACTAGGTCTTCTACAAATTCCAAATTCTTTAGTTGCATGAGAGCTGTCCATTTTGTCTTGTGTTTTCCCTCAGATGTCGGGGTCTTCATAATCCAGTTGACCACCAGAATAAAGAGGAAGGGAGAGAGTATGAGTTCCGGATAATATTAACAATCTTCTCAGGAACTCCGTAGTGTCGAAGAAGTTTCCATAATGTCCTCCTATCTACATTGTCAAATGCCTTTTCATAATAAATGAAGTTGATGTATAGTGACGAGTTTCACTCAACTGATTGTTCGACGATGATCCGTAGTGCTGCAATTTGGTCTGCGCATGACCGAACCTTACGGAATCCAGTTTGTTGATATCGAAGTTGGGCATCTACTGCATCTTTCATCCGGTTCAGCAACACTGTTGAAGACTTTCCCTGGTACTGACAGTAGTGTAATGCCTCTGTAGTTTTCACATTTGCTCAGTTCTCCTTTCTTTGGAATGTTGATGAGGTGTCCTTCTTTCCAGTCCATCGGCACTTGTTCCTCTTCCCAAATATTTTTGAATAGTTACTTCGATGTCTGACTTCAGCGCTTCAGCTGGTATATTGTCGGGTCTTTCTGCTATCCCGCTCTTAATTTGTCTGATGGCCATCGTGATTTCTTCGGTCGTTGTGGAGGGACATGTATAGGAAGGTCTGTGTGTGCTGCTTCGACGTCCGTAGGATTCAATGTAGCTGGTCTATTCAAGAGATCCTCAAAGTACTCTACCGATCTGTTCCTCTGTTCTTGAATTTCAGTAATTGGTCTGCCTTCTTTGTCCTTGACAGGTCTCTCTGGTTTGCTATATCTGGTGCCCCCTTGTACCAATATTTATGTGTTCAAATGAATAAATAAATAATAATATATCTCCCTGCTAGTTTCTTCGTTGTATCATATAGTTGTTTCATATTTCCTTCTCTTGCAGCTTTTTCCACCGTCGTTGCTAGTTCTTCCACGTATTTC